TTTTTTATGATGACACATGATATAGAGCTTGATGATTTTTTATTATCATCTCTCTTGCATTCCAAGAGAACAAATGCCTTAAATAATTTACCTGCTATTTTAGTATCTTAATATAGAACACAAAGTGGGACACATACCAGCCATGAAATAATACTTGTCTTCTCACAAACTTACAGTCTAGAACTTGCATATCCACTGCATGGCTACAAATTTTAAGCAGAGAAATAGAATAAAATGCATTCATGGTCAATACGCATGTATGTAGTTTGCTCAGGAAGACAGAAATAAAGTATTGTACAGATATAATTTTGTAAAGTATTACGAAGATAGTAAAAAAAACAACAATAAATCTGTTTCGGCTTGGAATTCTATTATTTATAAAGAGGGGCAATAAAAAAATCTAGAAATCATTTTACTACTCTAATGGCTTGCGGTTAAATTTAAATATTATGCAAAGATCAACCCCAGTATCACCTAATGCTACAGAGTCCACACAGCTGCACTGGTGGCGAAGGAGGAGTTTAATCACTGCTTGTGACACAAAGAACCAGGGGCAAATTAGCCAAGTGGAAGAAAGATCCTGTTTCTCTAGAATAATAACAATTGTAACCAGAACCACAGGCTGAGGAAACTTAATTGTTGGGTGATACCAGCAAATGATAATACTAATTAGAGCCTCTTTATCATAGAATTAATAATAATTATTTCTCTTATGAGGAGACCTAGTGGTCTCGCTCTCTTGAGGGCACATGATGCGCCCCCCCAGTTCCCTTCCCCAACACACCCTGAACAGACTTAAAATGCTTGGCTGTAAATGGAAAAGTCTGCAGTTTGAACCCACCAGCCATTCTGCAAAAGAAATGTGGCAGTCAGAATGTACTTCCATAAAAAGCAGAGCCTCAGAAACCCTAAGGAGGGATTCTATTCTGTTCTATAGGATTATCATGGGTTATCAGTAATGTTTTATTTTTATTTATTTTGGTGAGAAAAATTTGTATTTAGAATTAGCCAGATGGACTCAGTTATGATCCCAATTTTGTTGGTAACATCCAAAGCATCATATCATGGTCAGGAGCAAGTGGAACATAGGCCTAACTCTCCATCAGGCCTAATCAAAGTGTTGACCTTAGCCACATCAATGTCACAGAGCTTCTTGACAGCTTGTTTGATCTGGTGCTTGTTGGCCTTGACATCCACAGTGAACACAAGTGTGTTGTTATCTTCTATCTTCATGGCTGACTCAGTGGGCAGGGGAAATTTGATGATGGCGTAATGGTCAAGCTTGTTTCTCCTGGGGGTGCTCTTCTGGGGTATTTGGGATGCCTTCAGAGTCTCAGTGTCTTAGATCACTGGAAGGTGGGTGATGTGTGGATCGTCTTTTTTTTTTCCTTTGGATGCCCTTCAGGACAGCCTTCTTGGCCTTTAATGCCTTTGCTTTGGCTTCAGTTTTAGAAGGGTCAGGGGCTTCCTTCTTTGCTTTCGTGCCATATTTGCAGAAAGGAGCAATGTTTTATTTTTAAAATTTCTTTTATGAAAACTACAAAACTACCTATCAAAAGAATATGGCAGAAAAACCAGATTCCATTCCCTTCTGGGGTTATTGCCCTCTTTTGGGCACGTGGTCCATTTCCTGGGGCTCCAGCCCTCCTCCCTAACTGTGAGGCACATGGTCCGAGAAGATCCAATCAGAATCTTTTTTTGCATGAAACCTGGTTAAACCTCCCTGGAACACTTAGTTTCTGTTATGCTTTTAAACAGATAGCAACCTGAGGCTTTTCAATTACATGAGGCAAAAGGATTTCATTTTCTTGTCTTGGTTTCAGTTAATCTGATTTCTGTTATTTGCAGCCAAAAAGGTCTTGTGGGATTAGCTCTTCATTCCTTGCCTTTGTTGTTGGGTGTCATGGAGCTGATTCTCACCAGTGATCCCACCTGATGAAGCACCACCACCCTATAGGGTTTTCTCTGCTGTGATCTTTTCAGAAGCAGATTGTCAGGGCTTTCCTCTACAAAGCCACTGGGTGAAGCTGACACTAATTGATACTTACTGTGTCCCTGGTCCTACGCAATGCAGTTCATATTGAGAACGTAAACTATAACACTTTCTTGTCCCTGTGTTAAGTGAAACTGGTACCAAACACAATGTTTTGGCCTTTTGTTAAGCAATACCGGGACTGGCATACTTTCCTGTCCTAACGTTAAGTAATACACAGAACTTGCCCAAAGTGATATTAAATCCTGAAAGGGGGGGGGGAGAAATTCCTGTAGATCAATAAAAACAACTCACTTATCAAAACTAGCAGATTGCTCATTAAGATTCATTTCCAGTCTCTCACTGTACCCATTCTCTCAAACTTACTTCATCTTTAGTAAAACAGTCCATCCCAAATCAGTTTGTCAGAAAAATCACCCAGGCAAGGTCCCTAAACCATATAACGTATCCTCCTCTGACTTGAGGAGGGAAACAGTACATTTCTCCTTCTCTCAGATATCTGAGGGGTTTTCTGGGCAGTGGGAATTGACAAGCCACGTGACAGCATGTAATTCAGATGCCCATAAAGCAACTTGTTGATCGGTGATTAGCTTTCCCTGAGAAGCTTGAGACCACTTCTCTGGGAAGCTATAACCAGTAGGAAGGCTGGGGCGTGCCTTTCCCATGCTGCTTCCACTGTCAATTCCAAGTAATTGCAGAAATCCAAGTAAATTTAAGAAATAGGCTAAACACAAAGGAACACTGAAAGGCAAGGGTGCCTTAGTCAGAAGAGAAACGTACAACATAAAATGCCTGACACCAGCTTGTGGGATTACTAAGCTATTCTTATACGGTTCCATCTTCTTTATCTAACACCGATATCTGAGCACCAGATCAATGCACATTATCTTGTGAAGTTCCTAATGTGGACGCTTTTGGAGGCTCAGTCAAGGTTTAACATGGTAGCTTGTCACTCAGGATGCTCTCCAGTGGGATTCTAGTAATGTTTACTACAGAGAAACCTGTAAAAGCTGGGGCTCAATGTAACTGCCTTGTTTTTCTGAGTGTCAAAACATTTCTACCTTTGACAGGAAAATGACTATCACTGGTTTAAGGAGCTCCAGTGGTACAGTCCACAGGCAATTGTGCTGTTAACTCAAAGGCGGAGGCACTCTGGCAGGTCAAAGCCGCCCACAGCTCCACTGGAGCAAGATGGGCAGTCTCCTCCCACGTAATTTACAGCCTCTGAAAACCCTCTAAAGAGTCAGCTAGGAGTCAGCTCCTACTCCAAGGCAATGAGTTGAGGATCACTTGTTTTAGTGGAACTTAACCACTTTTTTATCACGTTAGTAGAAAATACTTGAATTTTTCTTCTCTGTAAGGTTTCTGCCTTACACAGATTCTGGTTTTCTCAAGTTTTATTGTAGGACAAAGATTTCTTTGCCATCAAGTATATTCCGGCTCATGATGACAATCCATGTGTTTCAGAATTGATGTGTACGCTACAAGGTATGCAGGGGCTGTGGATTTTGTGAACTGACTGAATCGCCAGGCCTTTCTTTCACGCTGCAGGGTAACTTTGAACCACTAACCATCTAGTTAATGGTTGAGTCAAACTATCTGCATCATCCAGGGACATATAGTTTGTTGTTGTTGTTGTTGTTATGTGCCATTGAGTCGCTTGTGACTCATAGTGATCCTACGTACAACAGCCCTAAACTCGGCTCTGTCCTGTGCCAATCTCACCGTCTCTGACACACCCATCCTGATTACTCCAGTCACTGAATCAATCCACCTCATAGGGGGCCTTCCCCTCCTGCGCTGTCCCTCCACCCTCCGAAGCATGATGTCCCTCTCCAAGGACCAGTCTCTCCTTACATGTCCAAAGTATGTTAGACGGAGCCTCAGAATCCTTGCCTCCAAGGAGGCACCCGGTTTAACCCTTTCCAGGATGAATCTGTTTGTTTTCCTGGCAGTCCATGGTATTCTCAATACTCTTCTCCAGCACCACAGCTCAAAGTCATCAATTCTCCTTCTATCCTCCTTGGTCATTGTCCAACACTCTGATGCATAACAAGTGATTGCAAAGACCATGGCCTGCATCAGATGCACCGTAGTCTCCAGAGAGACACCACTGCTCTTCAGTACCCTGGAGAGGTCCCTAACAGCAGACTTTCCCATCGCAATATACCTTTTAGTTTCCTGGCTACTGGTGCCACGAGTGTTGACGTGGAGCCAAGCAAACTAAAGCTGTGAACAATCTCAATCTCTTCACCATCCATCCTGATGCTGCCAATTGGTCCAGTGGTGAGAATCTTTGTCTTCTTGACATTGAGCCTCAATCCATATTGGAGGCTGCAGTCTTTGACCCTCTGCAGCAAGCACTTCAGGTCCTCCTCAGTTTTAGCAAACAGGGTTGTGTCATCTGCATATCGCAGATTGTTGATAGATCTTCCACCAATCTTGACCCCACATTTCTCCTCATAGAGCCCAGCCTCCAGGATAATCTGTTCTGCATACAGGTTGAAAAGGTAAGGAGATAGGACACATCCCTGGAGTACGCCCTTCACAATTTTGAACCATGCATTGTTCCCTTGCTCTGTTCTGACGACTGCCTCCTGGTTCAAGTATAGGTTTCGCATTATCATGATCAAGTGTTCTGGGATTTCCATTCTTCTTAGAGTCAGCCACAGTTTGTTATGATCCACACAGTCAAATGCCTTTGCATAATCAATGAAGCACAGATAGACATTTCTCTGGTATTCCCTGTTTTCAGCCAAGATCCATCTAACATCAGCTACAATATCACCACACCAGGCGTGGTGGCGTGCGCCTGTAGTCCCAGCTACTCAGGAGGCTGAGGCTGGAGAATCACTTGAGTCCAGGAGTTCTGGGCTGTAGTGTGCTATGCTTTTAATTTATATAGTTTATACTGTAAAAAACCGAAAACCATCTTTTTGCTAAAAGGATAAATTAGAAGCACTGCCTGGCAGGCAGCATCATTTGCTGACCCCTGCACACCTACCGCACACATCTTCCTCAGCATCAGATTCTTCTAGCGCGATCTGAGGCTGGGCCTTCACTTCCAAGTTCCTGCTCAGCCAGCTGGTTTGTTCCAGGGAGGAGCCAGCAATGTTCCCCACTGCTTCTAGGATTTTCTGCGTGACTTCCTGGGAGCATTCAGAAGAAAGAGGAGAGAGTTAGCTAAGGAAAACAACTGAGAGTATCAAAACCTCACTATTTGAATAGAAAGATAATGCATGCCATAACCACAAACCACATATACAAAATCAAAACTTCAAGAAGCCACATTAAAAGGCAAAAAGAAACAAGTGAAATGAATTTTAGTAATATGCTATTTAATACAATGAGAAGACCCCAACCACATGGACTGACACAGGGACTGTAACAACCAACCGGCTCAAGCATATCAGGAATCGTGAGGATGGAGCAGGGTAAGGAAACATTCAGATCTGTTGTTCCTGGGTTTGCTCTGAGTCATCATCAACTTGACAGTACTCAACAAAAAAATCTAAACCACATCCGATATGTAGTCAGTATAAAATGATGAACAGGATTTAATATTTACTTTTCATACTGAATCTCAGAAACCTGATGTGTATTTTACACTTCACCTCACGGTCTAGACCAGAATCAGATTCACTACATCTGTGGGAAAAAAAATCATTGGAGAAGCTCAGTATCTGCTGTACAAACTGAGCCATGTGCTGATTATGAAACAGATAATCAAGTACTCATATGCCAGTTCAAACTAAAGCTAAACAAAATGAAATGAAATCCACAAGAACCAAAGTTTGACACTGAATCTATCCCACCTTAATTTAAAAACCATCCCAAGAACAGGTTTGAGGCCCTGAACACTAATGAGTGGAGACCAGATGAGCTGTGGGAGGATATCAAGAATATCGCCAATGAAGAATGAAAATGGTCATTACAAAGACGGAGGAAAAAGAAAAGACCAACACAAATATCCGGAGAGAATCTAAATATTGCACTAGAATGCTGAGAGGACAAAGCAGAGAGAAGATATCAATAAGTTAAGGTGCTGAAGAGAAGATTTCAAAGAGCATCTGGGGAAGACAAAGCAAAGGATTATTATGAAATGTGCAAAGAGCTGGAGTCAGAAAATCAAAAGCGATGAATTTCTTAAGCTGAAGGAACTGAAGAACAAATTCAAACCTTGAGCTGCAATACTTAAAGGAAGCTTTGGGTAGAATACTGAATGATCAAAGAAGCATTAAAAGATGATGGAACGAGTACACAGAGTTACTGTACCAAAGAGAATTGGCTGACAGAAGAATTTAATGAAACAACATATGCAAAAAAAAAAAAAGCAATAGTGATGAAGGAGGAATTTCAAACTGCTCTGAAGAAACTAGCAAAAAACAAATCCCCAGGAATTGAAGGAATATCCATTGACATATTGCAACAAACAGATGCAGCCATGGACGCTCTCATTAGTTTGTGCTAAGAACTCTGGAGGACAACAATCTGGCCAACTGACTGGAAGAAATCCGTATTTACTACCATTACAAAAAAAGGTGATCCGAAAGAATGTGGAAATTATCAAACAGTAATCACTAGTATCATATGCAAACAAGATCCTACTGAATATTATCTAAAAACTATTGGAACAGTATATCAACAAAGAACTTCCAGACATGCAGGCTGGGTTTAGAAAAGGCTGTTACACTAGAGTCATTATAGCCAATATCTGATGATCTTAGTTGAAAGCTGGGAGCACCAGAAGAATGTCTATCTGTGTTTCATTGACTACGCAAAGGTATTTGACTGTGTGGATCACAACAAATTGTGGCTAACCTTGAGAATAATGAGAATCTCAGAACACTTAATCGTGCTTATGCAAAACCTATACTTGGACCAGCAAGCAGTTGTGAGAATAGAGAAAGAAACATTGCATGGTTCAAAATAAAAAAATTACCATACCTTTTCAATCTATATGTAGAAAAGATCATTTGGGAGGCTGAACTTTATGAGGAGGAATATGGCATCAGGATTGGAAGACTCATCAACAACCTGCACTATGCTGATGGTACAACTTTGCTTGCTAAAACTGAGGAGGACCTGAGGCATTTGCTGGAGAAGGTCAAGGACTGAAG